AATAATTGGTACTGCATAAATTATACAATCATATTATTACTTCATGTATATAAAATTGTATTTTATATACATGAAGTAATAATCAGATTGTATAATTTATGCAGTACCAATTATGCAGCGCCCAATCATTTATACTCTGAAGTTGATTAGAAATTAAGATTTTACAATATCTTGCCTCTAAACATTATAAGCCTCTATAGATGTGTCTCTAAAGCAACCTAAGTTTAGTTTCAAGCTCCTCGAGCTGAAATCATTATTACCACATTGTGAGCCAGGGACATATTTTTTTAAGAAGATTCAACAGATCAGTTGAATTTGCTCTTAGTGGGCCAGCCAGAGGCTTAGGGCCTGCACAGGAATATCCCTGCAAAAAAAAAAAAAAACATAAATAATTAATATATTTAAATAATATTGCCTTACTTCCCTGTAATAGGGATTTTGTGAGCTGTTTAATATCTCTTGCACAATATTTTAAAAGCTAAATATTACTTGATTCCAAAGCTATACTGTATAAATTACGAATAATAAAAATCTCATAAAAGCTAATAGATTTTATTTATTCATTTACAAAACTAACTAACACAATAGTCACTGTCAAATTTAAAGTAGCAATTAAGACCACATTACTGTATTTAACAGTCATAAGTGTGCAAAATAATTTCTGTATAAAAATCAAAGTGCTGTACTAAAAAGCAAATAATGAATCAAAACAATGAGGAATGTACGCCGTGTGGTTACTCAATTCAAGACAGTGCAACAAATTATAAAGCAAGGAACATTGTCTTTAGATGCTTCTATCATTACACATAATTACTATCATATGAAACAATTCCACACAAGTCTGCAAGTATCATTTTACAAAACACTGCCGACATGGTAATCAGACTATTGTAAATTAAGCTTGAGCTTAAGCTACATTTCAGGCTAGTGATGAGAACCCTTTGTGTATATATATGAGCTATAGGTTCACATTTTATTCAGAACTGTGAACTACATGTACCAGTATGTCATGGATAGTTGAGGTATATAGCAAGCTATTCTGGGTCATAATTCTAATTACTATATTAGTTATCTACAATAACTATATTACAGCTACATAAACAAAATTACAATTGACTGAGCAATAGGAACAATACTGAAATGTATTTAAAAACAAAATTATAAGGAAGAGTAAAATGAAAACAATGCCTTCAAACCTCACATAGTCAAAAGTAAAATTTACTCAAAATTTTATTTACACGAACAATACTCTTAAATTCCTGCTTTAAATGGTAGTTAAACAAGATAATCCTCAACCTTTGAATTATGGAGAGCATCAGATGATGCATTGAATGCAAGCCCAACCACTTGGACTGGATAGCAGAGCGACGGTCTTGGCAGGTCAACGTTTAATCCTTGACTATCCAAGTGGTTGGGCTTGCAACCACTTGGTTGGTTGCTTGCCAATATTGAATTTCGACGACCACAGGATAGACAGGATTAAAGGACTCCAGAGTCATGAGGTCACTGCAAGAGTCCACTACAACAACAAAGGAAGAATTACAAGAAAGCAGTTGACAAAGAGCAAACAAAATTGCATAAAGTTCAGCTGAGAAGATGCTTATCTCTGGAGGCAGGCGACACATATAGGTGCAGTCAGGAAACACAATGGAGTACCTACACCGTCAGCAGACTTGGACCCATCTGTGAAGATGGAGATGGAGTGGGAGTGTTAAGAAAAGTGAGCAAGGAAAAGGCGTTTAAGAACTGTAGGAGGGGGTAAAAGCCTTAGTCATGCAGGTCAAGGTTCTACAAAACTTAAGAGGGACCCTCCATGGGGACAAAGACAGAATGACACAAAGAGAAACATTGGCAACACAAACTGAGAGAACCTTGCGAGCGAGACAACCATACAGAAAGGGGAAGATGGTGAAAGGGAACAGGGGGGCCCACAGGTGGGGTAATTGTTAAGGTACGACATAAGCAAGAGTGAGGGTGTTGTAGGAATCATGCAAAGTAGCAAAGACAGTAGTGATCATGGTGATCTTGTAGAGACGGGATGCCGGTCTCAACATACAAGCTCTGGGTAGGGATCGAATGAAAGGCACTAGAGCTAAGACGAAGCCCAGTATGGTGAAGAACATAAAAACGACGACTAAAACTGTGTAATGCCACAATAAACCGAGTACAGGACATTTATTCTTAAAATACAGTATATCATTATAATTATATTCATTATTATTCATGAAGGCTGTGGAATCCACAGGATTCATTAAAATCCCAGGTTGTATAACCTGTACCATGTCGTTGTACAGGGGTAAGGTGCATGGCTGGGAGTACCCTTATCAAAGGACTCGAATCAGTGCTCCATTACCGACTGATTTCAATGTGTGAAAACACAAATTAAATAAGTAAAATCCTCATACTGCATTTTCATTATAAAGATGTAAAAAAAGCAACCTGACAAATCTTTCACCCCAATAAATTTGTTGGGTGTTACATCAGCTAAAAACTTTACAATTTTCAGTCGATGCATTGTCGTACTCAGTGTGTGCATCATGCCATGGAGATGCACTCAGTTTACCATCAATACAAAAATCCTGTTAATTGAGATATTAACTTTTCTTCAGATTAATAATTACTTGCTAGTGCCAGCTTTTATACCAAACATAATATATTCTTTGAGCAATATTAAAACATTCATAGACATACAGTACTTATTCATAATCCTGCTGAAGCAGACCATATCAATTACTGTATTACTAATGCACTGTTAGTAGGTGGCATCTTCGCCTGAAGACTACTGAAATGCTCTGTTAAATAATAACTAACTCTTTTTAAATATTTTTAAGTTATTAATAAAAACAAAATTCTGCACACTATACACACAAATGCTATATCACATTTCCTGGACTAGCATCTCCTAATTATACGACCTCACCGTCCAAGTGGTTGGGCACCATTCCTTCCCTCCGTCCCATCCCAAATCCTTATCCTGACCCCTTCCAACTGCTAAATAGTCGTAATAGCTAGGCACTTTTCCCTGATAAATACCTCCCTCCTGAATATTTGAAACATGACATATGCATATGAAATGTGACTTAATATTATGTACTTCACAGTTAAAGATGTGTAGTGACTAGAGAAATTTTACTTAGCATTCTAATTCACTAATACAGTACAGTACATGCATTAACAAAATGTTTATTTGAATTGTTGACATTTTAGAGACAGTTAGTTCTGAACATATGTAACTCCTCCAAAATATTATCACAACTGGATTTCAATTTCTTAGAAACAAAAAAGTGAAGAACCGAGATAACTAGAAAATTGTAAATTTTTACATATGAAGTCTACTGTACAGGCATTTTTCTAATCAAATTTATCTCTTTAGTCATGCTTTCAAATTTCAAGCAGATAGGCTCAAGAGCTCTTTCAATATCTTCCGCAGATTAAGTCTATAATCACATTCTTATACTGTACAAGTTTCCATTTCACATATCACAGCAAAGGAAATTAATGAACAGATTTCCAGAAATATCACAGATTTCTCAATAATATTCTTGCCTTTACTTATTTTAACAAATATTTGGTCAAACAGAATAGCTAAAAGTTAGACAAAGACAAAATATCCACTAATATAAATATTCTAAGGTTTCATTTCCAAAATATAGTGGAAATGAAGTTTCATTTGGGTCAATATCAAGCTTATAGATTACCACTTATTTCTTATATATAAATATATTATCTTTATATAAGAAAAATTAAAACTTCTTTAAGTTAAATGTGCTCTCCTTTACATTAAACTCAGAAGCAACACATTCTATCTTAAAATGAAGACACTATTCTGGTCTTAAAGGAAACATAATATTTGAAATAATTTTTTATCCTGGTTAAATTACATATAAAATATATGACAAAATTATTTCATATATTTCACCAAAAACTCTTTAACACTTTCGCGCTATCTGGACGCGCCGGCGCGTTCGGTTTCGTCTAACGTAAACGCATAGTGGACATAAAGTTATGTCAACTTTTAAAATATTTGTATAAAATTCAATTTTTATCCGATTTACTTTGGGTTTGTTTCAAACTGCGCGCTATGAGGCTCTCTTTCTCACCACTAGGCTGCATGGTACAATAAGTTCATGAAAGGTGTGGATAACGTCGATCAAATGGTATTTTGTCCCAAACGGGTTGCAGGTGGGTGACTTTAGCCGTTTATACTGGTAATTCTTCCCCCATATCATGTATTATATGCATATGTCTGTTTAGGGAATTTTATTCCGATCAATATACAACCAAAAATAACTGTGTGCAACAAGTATAATCTTGACAAACATAACAAAAGTAAAAATATTTCGTGTGTGTTTGACGCTCACTGATATGTTCCAGCGTTGTTTTATATTTGTCGCTATTCTAACTTACGCTTTGTTGATATTTTTTACCTATGGGCACATAGAACATTCTATTGCGAATACATTGACATGAAAATGAATGACGTACATAGAAAATTAATGTCATGAGAGTGAAATAAGTATAAACTTTCAAAGCGCTGTGCGTCGTCCCGTCACCGATACCGGGTAACAATTTCACCACTTCCCACACTCTTGCGGGCGGGCTGCATCAATATTCAACGCTTATATTCATATCACCGTGTTGGGAATTTCATTGCGAGTCCATTGATACCAAAATTAACGCTGTAGAACAAGTGTGGAGGTGATTATAATCCCAAGAGTAAAAACATTTTGTTGCTGATGGGCGCTCACGGCGAGTCATCTACGTAGTTATTTATTTGGTGCTGGTATCCCTATATGTTTCGTGACTTATTTTACTAATGTTCTTCTAGAGAATTTTATTGCAAACACGTTGGTGCCAAAATGAAATACGTAGCATGAGAACTAAGGTCAGGAGAGTAAAAAGAGTATACACATTTTTGTTTTTACGCTTAAGCGATAAAAACGCAGCGCGCACATTCGGTTGGCTGAGTGACCTTTGCGGAGAGCGCGAAAGTGTTAATACTTATAGCACAGTACATTATCTTCAGTGCAAATTGCATCAATAATATCCAGGCTTTTAGATCCAATGTGTTGTATTCCACAAGTGCAAATACAAATCTTCACAAAATCTTGCAGAACTAGGCCAATACTGATTTTTTGCACATACGCAGGTGTAAAACTACCAAGGCCAACAGGGATCATCACATGTGCGAATCCAGGCGCCAATATAACCTTGCTTGACATCCATTATACTTGTGTAAGTTGTCAGCTGAAGCACACAAAAAATACATTAGTATACAATGGATTTATTACAAAAATGTAGTGCACTTGTATAAACAAAATATAAGTAATATTTTTTGTGGCACAAATACAAGATCAAAATCATAAAGGATACAAAAACAAAAGTTAACTAAAATTGTACAACTTACAAGAAAGAAACTGAAAGACAACTGTATTCTTTATAGGGAAGAAACTGAAGGAAAATTGTTCATACAAAGAGTTCTTATTTATAAATACAGTACAGCACAAAATTCTAAAAATGGGGATAGCAAAAGTCAGGGAGTAAAATTAACAATTAAACAATCTAAAATTAATAACAGTATGATGTAAATAATAGAGCACAAATATAAACCGGGTGCCTTACCAATCAAGTTATAACCAAACAAGCCTGTACTTCCAGCTGAGCTATTAATGGTAGAAAACCTCTCATAACTGATTACAGGTAACCTCCATGACATGCACACTCATTACAGCATTACTCTCGATACACTATACTCATACAGCAAGTCTTCAAAACCTTAATGCAGACATGCATGCACTCTCAAGTGGACAATATTAATAAAGTTCTACAGTAATAGGTTTAAAACATAAAAATGCAAAGTAGTATTGGAAATACAATGTGTTAAAACCAAAAGCTCATAAAAGACAAATTTATCAAATATTCTGTGAACTTACTTTGTTTAATACTGGCTTGCTTGAAAGAACATTATAAAGCAACTTTGCTGAGGCATTTTTTTGCTCTCCTTTTCTCAAGCAATAAGTAGCCGGTGTCCTGCGGTCATCATAAAATGGTGGCGACGCCCAGTGGTCGTAATTTGTTTCAACAATAAACCATGAATCCAAGCCAAACACGTCGTCACCTAAGCTATCGACACGGTAGTTATCACGCCAACGAGTGATGATTGACCCCTGGAATTATTGAGGACTATTAGTTTGAATATAACAATGTAAAAGACAACAATTAAGAACAGCAGCAGCTACAAGCTCCACGAGCAACACACACACAGGATATTCTACAAATCTAAAGGTGAACTTTACACCTATGTAATTAATAATAAAATTACAAATAGACAAGACCATATATAAATATTGAATATGGAAAATAGAAAGATGATTAAAATAAAATCAGTGTTAAAGACAATTTTATTTTGCTAAAATATCTGCCAAAATTGGCAAATAAGATCATGTTTAGAGGATTATTCTTCTGCATGACAGCAAGTGAAATTTAATGGTGTTGGGCTAAGGTAAACTCTACATTATATCCTATACTCCCCCATTAAACAGTATCCTATACTTCGTGGCAAGACCATTTACAAACTTCCTTGTCATGGTACTTTTAAAGTTAATAACAGCCAGATAAGTGAACAGTGTTCTGGAAGGACCCTGGCCCTAACCCTGATTCAGGCCCCTAACACAGGCTCTGGTTCTCATTCCAACCCTGATTGTAGTACTGGCACTGGCATTTGCTAAGGAAACAATAGAGGCACCACACAAAAAACCTCCCTCTCCTATGGGGAGGAGAATAGCGCCAACGAGCAGAGGTGCTAGTCGCATGAAGAATTGCTTGTTTGGTCTCTTTCTAGGAGAGTTATTTTGATCTTTTGGGATGTAGCCTGCACAGGTTAACCAGATTTTCCTGGGGAGTCTGTCAGATTCTACCTTTCTGGGTCCTTCCCTGGTCGATGGCGATTATGACATTTTAAATGTAAAGTGATCATAGGCCATTGCTCTCTGCACCTCTCTGAGGGGACCAGGTTCTGGCTCATGATCCCTGGTAGGCTAAAGATCTCCTGTGACTGATGACCCCAAACTAATATACCATATACTGTATCAGTTCGGATAGCTTCAGGGAGCCGACGGGGCTTCCCACAGAAAAAAAAAAGAGCGTTTCAATCCTCTTAATGCCATATTTATTATTTATTGAATTTTTATACATATTTATTTGTTTACTGTATGATTTACTTCAACAGGATATCACTTCCCATTATCATGAAGAAATTTTAATATGTGCACCTAAGTTCAACAAAATAAAATCCATACTTACTTCACCTGGCTTAGTTCCACCGAGGATAAAGTATACAGGAGCCAACAGTCTAGTCTTCGAAAGCATGAGTTTGGCTTCTTCATATGTTTTGGCTTCTTCCATGACTTCACGAGTAAGGAATGACACCCACCTAAAAACAGTGATGTAAGCATACTGATAACATTCAAAAGAATCCAACTATATAAAGCTAATTACTTTTAAGGTGAAGGAAAGACCCAATACATGTTTAAGTGTATTAAAACCAAATTTTTGGATGAAACATCCATCCTTTATCAAAGTGTTGTTAACAGTGCTCTTAACAAGATTCTAAGAGCTGGCATTTATATGCCTGGCAGAGCACCTCACGTGGCGTCCACCATTAGACATCGTTATGATTATGCTCCCCAGGGACTCACCAAGGGGTGCTGAAGCTTCAGAGGGATGCTTAATTATCCTGGTGCCAGATTCATGAAGCAGTTAAGCAAGTACTTACGAACGTGTACATCTTTCCTCGATCTTTGACGGCTTTGGTTACATTTATTAAACAGATTACAAGCATGAAACTTCCCAATCAACTGTCGTTATTGTCATAAACAGCCTCCTGGTGCTTCGGAGCTCATTAACTGTTTAATAATTATAAACAAAGCCGCCTAAGATTGAGGAAAGATGTACATATTCATAACTGCTTCATGAATCTGACCCTTGCTTTCTGGGAACTGTGGGTAGGATCAATTGAGAATTCATCCAAAGCTTCGGCATCCTTTGGCGAGTCCCTAGGAGCACGATCATAACGATGTCTAATGATGGATGCCATGTGACGCATTCTGCCAAGATGTACAAAAATATGTAATTATCAAAAGAAGGCACCAAGCTGGGGAGACTATGTAGAACAATCAAAGTTCCAGGATATTCAAAAGGCACTAAATATCATTAAGATGTTAATACAAGAGCAAACATGTATAAGGTGAACGATATCAAAGGCATTGGATTCACCAAGGATTTTATCAAGGGATAAATAACCACGAGGGACAGTCGGGAAGCATGACACATGAATGTCCTAAAAAATGAGGACATTTAATAAGGAAATGAACAACTGTAAGAGGGACAATGCAATTCAGACAATAAGGAGCAGGGTGGTGGTCCATTAAGTGCCTGGGAGTTAAACATGTATGGCCAATACGTAATTTCGCATGAGCCATTTCCCACTGCCGGTTATAGTGGGAGGAGGAAGGCCATGGGGGGACACGCTACCTTTAAGAGCATGCAGTTTGTTACCAGTAACAGAAGACCAACAACTCTGCCAACGGGCACAGATTGTTGAATGATTGGGTAGAAATAGGAATAAGGAATGCCTTTGCAAGAAATAGGACAAATGTGGATAGCCTCCTTAGCAGCAGTGTCCGCATGCTCATTTAAGGAAACACCAATAATGTTGGGAACCCAGCAAAACTCCACTGTCTTAAAGCTGTTGAAGGTATGAAACAGCTAATGTTGAATGCCAGACATATAAATGCAAGATTCTTGGATAAAACCTACTTGGACCTTTAAAAGCATGGAGGTTTTATCCAAGAATTTAGTTTTAATCACTTAAACATGTATCGGGTCTTTTCTTCACCTTCATTTAAGCACCACTGCACTGTAGTAAGTTTCTTGCTAATTACTGTACTAAATATAGAAGGTATTTAGCCATACAAAACATTTACAAAAATATCTTTCATTTATTTGCTTAGTGCAACACGAGGGCTATGTGAGAGGTGTCTGAGGATACATAACAGTATAGTGAAACTATAGTAAAAAAAAAAAAACACAAATCTATTGAATTTTAAGAATTTGATCCCAGTCAGTTTGTTTATGTGGCTTCAGAATGGTGGAGTTGATAAGAGTGTTATTGGCTTTATCACAGATAAAGTCATTGCTGGGTTATTAGCAGAGAAATAAATGATGAAAAGCAAAGTTTTAGGTGTAAAGTAGCAGCTGATAAGTTAACACTATCGGAATACTTTAGAGGTTAAATTAACAATGCTGAAGCAGTCACTGAACAATTAAACTTTCATCAGGATACCAAAGAGCAAAGAAATAACTTGATAAACAAGTGCAGGAAGTTATGCAAGGTAAGGTAATTATCAAAAGAAGGCACCAAACCGGGAAGGCCTTGTAGCACCATCAAAGTGCGAAATAATCAGAGGGCGCTAAATATCACCAAGAAAGCCAATACGAGAACAAAAACGCATAAGGCGAACGATATCAAAAGTATCCGATTCACCTAGAATTCTATCGAGGGACAAGTGACTGCGAGGGACGGTCGGAAAGCAAGAGAAGTTATGCAAGAATTAAATGAAAATTCAAAATACAAGAGATTTTGTAGATGTTGCTTTAATGTTTATCCTAATTGTAAAGTGGTGTGTATAACTCAACCACCACCCCCTTAGTCTAGTCCAGAGCTCAGAAAGACAATAGCTTTTGAGCTTACAGCACGAGGCAAAGATTTTTGGACTGCTGGATACCTACTACACATTGGCTCATGAATTTGGGAAAAGCTGCACCATCTACAAGGCAATTAACAACATTAAGGATGCATGGGGGTGAAAGTGAAGACTACTACTGTGAATAGTATTTTGAAGAGATTGTGAAAGGAGTGTGTCCACAACTTCACAAGATTTGTGAAGATATCCTCTAAGGGCGGGAGTTGAGATTATGATGTTTGGCCAAAGAATGGGATGGAAAGGGTTCAGTGATTTTACAATAGGAGGATATCTTGGAGGTAATCAAGTCCCATCTTGAAGACTCAGAAGATTTTGTGTACTAGGACAGAGGACTAACACAAAGAGAAGCAAAGATAATGGAAGTTAATCGGAAGATCCTGTAGACACTGGATAAATTCAGAATAATGGACTAAGGGGGTCCAGGAAGTAATGACATAACCTCATTAATGAGTGAGGTCGAGTTTGTGAGCTGTTTAAAATTTAATTAGGTTTCCTACAAAGGCAGCAATATAAAGCAAAGCAGCCTACATAGAGAAATATGATTCTCACTCCAACACCTACAGTCACCTCAACTCTCATGGTTGCCTCAACACCTGTGGTTGCTGCTCATCAGCTTGGACATCAAGTCACTCCAAAAAACCTGGTAGCTTCAAGTGATAGAACAGAATCATCCTTCACCTGTCATTGATCACCAAAGGAAGAGTCTAATCCTGATGATCCCAGAAGCAAGTTCAAGCACACTGCATCTACATAATTAATGTGTTAAATATTTTCTCATAGATACATCAATTTATTGATATTTCACTGTGCACTGATGGTGACGTAAGGTGGTGACCTTCACTACCTATGCCGAGCGTGAGTGGGCATCTCATGAAAAATTGTATTGCGGCTATCAGCTGGTTCCTCCCAAACCAGTTGCAATGCATACCTGTTAGTTTCGTGAATAAGATGTTACATGAATGGCTCATCAAAGCAAGTAATTATCAAAGGAAGGCACCAAGCCGAGAAGGCTTTGTAACACATGGCTTATCAAAATAAGCCATAAAATATTCACTTTCACTCATATCTTCACCTGTATATGGAAAAGTGAGTGCAACACCAAAATCAGCATCATCAAATTGTGGTTTGTGTGGTACAAAATCATAATACTCTGTTCATCTATGCTACTTGTATCAGAAGCAGCATCACTGAACCCAGAAAATGATTCATCTATAGTACCACTTTATTAAAAAACTGGAGATGACACAGCTGGTCATGATAATGGTGAGGGCGATGGCCTGGGAGGATGCCTGGCAGTCACCCTCTTGATACAGTTAATACGTGCTGTATTACTAGTACTTGCATCTGACACATGTGTTATGTCTTTATCGTGCCTTGGTTCATCAATATCACTAAGTTTATCTTCTTCAAACAATAAGGTCTGAATTTCACCGTCAGAGTGATATTTCAACACTGTGTCCGACAGGGTATTGGGAACCAGAGGCGCATGAGCCACCCATGGTTGTTCACTCAGAACTGAGCCAACCCACAGCCCTGGGGCATGCTGGTTATTTTTTTCCAAGATGGCTGCCTCTCACTGGAGGTCTCGGGCGTAAATCTTGTTCCCAACCTACCGCGCACGCATTTTGAATCTTACGATATCATGACATCGTTTAAAAGTCGGGTGGCGCACAGCCATACCCTTTGTTTTCTCGGGTGATGCAGTGCAGTGGTTAATGAACCTGCATTATGAATTCAATAATTTACATAAACAAATTTATATTCTAGCAGTAGGTGTTAATAAAATCTAACATACTCACTTCTGCTTATAATCCTTAAACAGGATCCACTCCAGCAACCCAATGAAACCACCATTTAAAGAAAATCGTTCGTCCAAGCTGAAGGTAAAATGATCCTGAAACAGATGCATGTAAACAGTTATAGCCCACTTATCTACTCCAATTATATTTAATGATTAAAGAAATTATCTACCCTTACAAGCAGTTTAAGACAGTAGAGTTTTCCTCTTACAGATTTAAGATGGGACATGTGTCCATGTACAGATATTTTAATTTCTCTCATTTATTTGGAAATATACTCTATACAGTACTTTAATGTAAACAAAAATATACTTGCAAAAATCTTAGAAGGCATATATATATATATACATATATTTAACAAAAATTCCAGTCAATTTAACTGCAACATTTATGTTGCACTGTACAGTTGATGCAACAGGTTACATACTTTTTTTTTTGTTTTTACTAGCATAAAATGGCAAACCTTTTTGACACCAGTAATGACACCAATATATCCAACAAAGCTGATGGATTTATAAGCTATAGCTTTTTCCTTCTGCCACTCCAGCTGTACAACCAAATGCTTCAATAACTCGGCCACTTCCCATGTGTGTTCTTTAGGATCCCACCTGTAAAAAAAGACAATAACGTCATGAAATACAGTTGAAATTAAGCATTTGAGTTAATATGTAAAGCCACTTTTTGACCAGAATTATTTGGGTGCTCTCTAAAGTAAGTGTCCACCATGGCATAGGGGTCTTGTAGTTCAATGCTCACTAAAGTCAAGTTACAGCTGAAACACCAACGATTCAATTCCATCGGCTAGATAGAAGCACTTGAGCAGTGTTTCCATTACATGAAGCCTCTGTTCACCCAGCAGTCAATGGGTACCTGGATGTTCAGCAACTGTTGCAGGTTGCATCCTGGGTTGCAGGTTGCAACTAAAAAAATTATTTAGCGTGTTTTAAATTCAAGTTATGTTGGTTGTGGTACAAAAAATTGTGAATTTGGTCATTTCTAAACTTCTCCTTAAAAGAATTCTGCTTATCTGGATTTATTTTGGCTTATCTTGTGAGGGGTCCTTCCCATATAGTCCTGATAAGTAATCTTAGAAAGTATTAAGAAACATTCCTTGTCAAGTTGGAATTGAGAAAATTGCACTGACCAAAGCTGCACTTTGCAATGTTCCTGTGAGTTGGATATTGCACAAAGAAGTGACCGAATTATCTATGGTCAGAAAACCTATCAATATTACAACAAAAAATTGTTTTCAAGCACTATCACAAATGGAACATTCACATATGGCGATATGTAGATATGAAATTCCTTAAAAAAATAATGGGTTTTTGTTTTTGTATTTACTGTAAATACAATGCACATTTATACAGATAAACAGTTACAAACAAATGGGCAATGTTATGTATATAGCAATAGAGAAATACATGAATAAAAATCCAAAAGAAGACTTTACCCCATAAAGAGTCCAAAATCCAGGTTGCGACCATGGTAGATATTTCCTGATGTATCCTGAACAATGATAGAGGTACATAATGTAAAGATCTCATAAAAAATGTTGTACAGCGTAATTTCTGAGACAGGAAGGTCCACAGCTTTAGCAATGCCTATAACTTCCTCATTATAGGGATATGGAAGTGTAGTGGAAATCTGTAAAGGAACAAAAATAGGTAAAAATAGAATGACAAATATTTTTTGAGTAAACTCATTCTACTACTCCCTATGGATTTATCCACTGTGTTAAATGGATAGGACTGGAATATCAAGACAGGATTATATATTTCACCAGCTCAACAGTGAACTTTAAACCTATTCCTACAGGAAAAGTGAAGGTGCAAGGACATTGGTTCCCAACCAGGATGCATTAGAAAACTGAGATGCAACAGGCATCTGTCACATGTGCCATAGAAATATGAAGACATTTAATCCTTCAACTGCTAAGCAGATAGCTTAGCAATTGGTACAGATAAGGTAATTATGAAGAGAAAGCACCAAGCCCATCTTACTATACAGCACTTGGAAGGTATACGAGGACAAGGATCTGGGATAGGACAGAGGGAAGAAATGGAGCCCAACCACTTGAACCCATCAGGGATCAAACACAGGCATGCAAGAAGCACGAACATCACTGTACTGACTAGTTTAAGTGGTTGGGTAGGAATTGGAGCAGTGTGTTAAATATCAGCATTTAAATCAGTAAGCAAAAAAATATAAAGGAAAGAGAATAGTTCAGTTGAAACAAGCAGTCTTTGGTAGTTTTAGAAATATTAAACTTTTTCAGTAACTATAGCTAAAGTGATGAAATAAGTTCCTGATGTATATACAAGTGAAATAGATCATACTGCAAAATATCACAAAACAGGAAATAACCAAGACTACAAACGAAGCTCACTTATTCAGGCATGCATAATGTACCGCTATTCCTGCATGAATTATATAACACACATACAACTGATATACATGTAATATATAATTCCTTAGGGGTGTTGTAGTGCAGGGAGGCACACCACCACCACCCCAAGGAAGCCACTTTGTATACAACTTCACATTAGTAACTTTCATTTTTCAAGATATAAGAATAAATACTTAAATGGTGCCTTAAATGTTAAATATGACTAAGTTTATTAAGAGGAAATGCTGTACATGTTAAACGCATCTCCAAAAATGCAATAAATCTGAAAATTAAACCAAGGTTATTTCTCTCGTTACAAAGTGTGTATCTTTGGCTTATGATGGTTCCTAAATGAATTTGTTTAATTATTAAATAGTGGGGTAGTTTTTATTCTATAGCATATACAGTACCTGTACTATATAAACAATTTTGTCATCTGCCTCCTATAATTTATGACTATTTAATCATATTATTCATTGACCATTTGAACTAAAATTATGGACAGGGAAGCATAATATGCTCATCATGATATTGAAAAATTAATGCTAAAATTTGTCACAGAGAAAGTACATACTGTATATATATAGTATAAATATTATATTAAAATAGCTAAAAATTGTTGCAATCAGTCAATTCACACACACATTCACTCTTGGCAGTCTGCTCTCGTACACATTCACTCTTGGCAGTCTGCTCTCGTACATATTCACTCTTGGCAGTCTGCTCTTGTACACATTCACTCTTGGCAGTCTGCTCTCGTACACATTCACTCTTGGCAGTCTGCTCTCGTACATATTCACTCTTGGCAGTCTGCTCTCGTACACATTCACTCTTTGCAGTCTGCTCTCGTACAAATTCACTCTTGGCAGTCTGCTCTCGTACACATTCACTCTTGGCAGTCTGCTCTCGTACACATTCACTCTTGGCAGTCTGCTCTCGTACACATTCACTCTTGGCAGTCTGCTCTCGTACACATTCACTCTTGGCAGTCTGCTCTCGTACACATTCACTCTTGGCAGTCTGCTCTCGTACACATTCACTCTTGGCAGTCTGCTCTCGTACACATTCACTCTTGGCAGTCTGCTCTCTCACACATTAATAAAACTTTCAACTTGTCTGCCTGTTCTTTCTTTCTTTACCATTCAATGTCAGTATGTCTAATAAATAAAGCTTACTCTTAATTAAGCCCTACCTGTCAAAATCATGCTAACATTTTAATAGATAATTTGGGAATTCATCTTTAAAACTAAAAGATAAATGTATGCATTACCTTTTCCAGATTATTGTTGATGATATTAAAGACTTTCATCCCTAGAAGAGATATGGTCAAATTTTTAACATGGCCAATAAGAGCCAACATCTGAAAATATAATACAAATTAGAATAAATTTCTAGAGAGATAAAAAAAAAAAAAAGAGCCATGTAATATCTCCTAGATTTGTCATTTGACACAACAAAAATGTAAGGCTGTAAATAAGATGCAGTTCATGATAAAGGACCAGTGACAAAAAAGTGAGCCAGCATTAGTCGAGTTTTTCCACAACTAACGAAACAAAAACAAGAGTACTGTAGTGTTACTACAAACATACAATTCATTTTGTGAACTTATCCTTAGGCCATAGAAAGCTATTTACATAATTTTACATACTGTATATGTGTATATGGTACTCTGTTTAAAAAAAAATGTACGAATAAAATATATTTTAGTAGATATTTAATAAACAAACTATATTTAGAATTATTACTAAAATAATCTTCTCCAAACTTTAAAGAATAAAATATCCTACTCTCATCATTTTATAGTTTTCTTAAGCAACATCTAAAACTATGATACGTTTTATCAACCTATGATAATGATATTTGAATTTGAATTTGAAATTTGATAGTAAAATACCATATCCTGTCCTGAATATTAAAAAAAAATATCCATGTTTCAGTATCAAACAATTTAAGAATTCTACATAATGCAATAAAATGATTCACACACACAAACGTCTTACGGGTTCTTTTTTCTCTGCCAACAGCTTCGTCCATCTCTCTTGAGGAGGAAGGTCAAGATCAACGGTGTAAACAGGAGCAGCATCACTGGAAACAAAAAATATAGTACATTTAATTTATATCTTAAATCCTATCTTAAATCCGACATAGGTTATGTTTCCCCATTGTTGGGGGCAAAAAGGCTATTCGACTTATCGAGGTCCTTTCCCTTCCACCCACTCCATGGCAACCCACAACAGTTGTCTAACTCCCAAGTACAGTACCTCTTTACTGAAAAGTGATCAAGGGTTCTGGGTGAAATCAAAAGCAATAAAACATCTATGTCCTGCCACTGGAATGGAACCCAGGATGTTTCAGTTGCAAAGGAAGTGTGCTACAGGATAGAAAATCTCTCTCTCTTATTACAGTATTAGAAAGCATATATGTGCAAAAATATTAGCAGTATGTAGGAAAGAAGTTTCCATTAAAACGTGTCACATCACAGCACAATACAACAATATACAGTGCCACCCTTTCTTGTCACAACACAGTACAGTATTGTTCTGTATAATGATGCCACCCTATGAAAGTAATATTGTATGATCAAAAAATAAGCCAAACCAAATTAAACAGAGGCCAAGTTACAGCAGTACTGTAATATTTTCTGCAAATTTTGAGTTTATTGTGGAATTACTGATAGTTTAATTCTCGTGGTGTTATAATTATGTGGTCAAAACAAGATTATTCTCACCTATTTTGTTATACAAATAAATGATTTCATTCTCTAACCAAATCTAAAGGAAATGATACTTTTGGAGAAACCTCAAGTATGATATATATATATATATTAGTTAAGAAGGTCACATTACCTGACTGCTTCATAACCACTGTATATATTTGTGTCGGTCTCAACCCTAATTTATTGTAGAGTACCAGAACTAGCTTGAAATACTTCAATATACTATATACAATCATGCACTGGAAACCCACATGTGAAAAAACCAAGCATAATATTGTACAGTATATATGCTGTACAGGATACAGTATAAATAGTTTCTTGTAACATATGGGTAGGAGGGCACACATTTACGACGGAGATTAGTTAAAAATTTTCCATTGCAAGTCAATCGAATGGTACTCGAAACACTTTTCCCACGGGTGCAAAGCTACAAATGTGAAATAGGTCTCTGAAGCATGGAAGAATTAACATACCTGAACCACTATTCAAATACAGTATTTGTAAAATATTATGTAGAATAAATACTGGCTTTATTTATCTCAAATTCTGGAGTTGCCTTGCTTGCAGGATTTAATTATTAGTGGAGGATAAGGAGGTAGAAGGTTACAATCCCTGCTTTCCCATGTCAGATATAACAACACTGCACTAATTGGTTATTAAGGTTGAATTCATTGTTATTGAATCCTTCATATGTTCTAAAATTCTAGCCTTGCAGGCGATGAGTCACAATAACGTGGCTGAATTATGTTGACCAGACCACACACTAGAAGGTGAAGGGACGACAACGTTTCGGTCCGTCCTGGACCATTCTCAAGTCGGTTCACTCTCAATCAACTTGAGAATGGTCCAGGACGGACCGAAACGTCGTCGTCCCTTCACCTTCTAGTGTGGGATCTGGTCAACAAATTCTAGCCTTGTCTAATACTGATGTCGATTGTTAGGTGGTTAAATGTCGATTGTTAGGTGGTTAAAGCCATAAACATGTGCAATCTTTATTAGGACCACCTATTACTTATCCTTGGCAGAACAGAACAGTTTCCTTGAGTATCTAATATAATATGCATGAAAGTTGAGAAATCTTACACTTACCTTTGATTGGGGGGGAAAGCATTGGTTTCACACACAAACTGCAAAACAAAATCATATTTATTATACTTTTTTTGCTTATGTACCAATTATATAATGTATTATTTAAAAAGAAAGGATCTAATATTTTAATATGAATCACAGCAATAGTTAATATAAAATGAAGACATTCACAAAGAATTATTACAATAGATGAATACATATGCCTATTTGGGATTAAACTGTATTGGATTTTATATGCTGTGCAATATGTATACTGTACACACAAAGCCTAATGTACATATAAAAAGTGAGTAAATCACAGATGTAATTAATGTGAAAAGTCCTTCTGAAGATGTGCCAATTTGCACAAAAGCACTTGAGTATAAAAGTTGTTTGATTTTCCTTATTGTTATGTTTTTACATATATGTATGTGTGATACATGTTTGTGGAGATATATATACCAAATTACAGTAATGATAAATATAATAGTTTCTGCCATATGAATCCATGGCAAGATGAAGCCTTGAATGAATATGTTGGTCAGTAAGACTGCATGGTGATCAACCAAAGTGTTGGCTCCAATAAGCAAACAAAACCTATGTGCAAACTACCATGTCCTAAGACTTGTCCGCGAGAAAGCACGATAATTTAGCGAGTATACATACATGCATATACAGTGGAACCTTGGTTTTTCCCGCTTTCAAATTGTTTGATTCTCGAGCTCAATTTCTTTGAAAAGTTTGACTTGGGGCTCACATTTGTTGACACACACATGGGCCAACCGAGCACGTGGCACACCACAGTTTACCAGTGTCTCCCACCTAGTAACAACAGTGCTTGAATTCTTTGTGAAGAATTTCATTGTTTTTGTGTTTTCTGGTTTCTGATCATAAACTTTCTTATTATATATCATGCCATGGGTTCCAAGAAAGTCAGTGGTAAAGTTCAACCCAAGAAAATAGTTGTGAGGATGATGATAGAGGAAAAATAAGAGATCATTCATAGTGAGACAATGTGATGTCTCACTACAGGCAAGTGTTAAAATGTAGGAAAAAACAAGTGTCTATAGACAGATTCTTAGTAAGTAACAAGCAAGCAGTGAGCCACAACCAGGCCCTAGTGGTATGTCTGCAAACGTAAGAGATAGAGTACCCCAGAAATGTCATCACTGCTGTTATAATGGGACTCCCCTTCCAAACACAACACCTCTCCTCACTGTCTTCCATATGCCAACAAGAGTCTTCAATAAAGATAAGGTACCTATGAGTATTATGCAGCACAAATAGGGACCTATAACAATTCCAATCTTATTTAAATATTAAACAATTTAATCCAGTGCCAAATTACTCCAATAATATTTGATTACTTCTTAACATATATCTAAGTACAGAGAAAAGAGAAACACTCTTACTAAACACCTATGGTGGTCTTACCCATGTTTACTCAATACGAAATGGACTTGCCCTTAGGGGGACCTATGATAAGCTGCCAGCTTCCTATCCTCGTCGGGGCCACTAGTGTTAGTGACCTACAGGTAAATTCAGGTAAATTTATCCAGCATCTGATGTGGACTCATTTGTTTACTCATGTTGAGTAAGCAAGCTTCACCCTTGCTTACTCAACATGAGGTGGACTCACCTTCCCTTGCCCATCATCCAAGGTGGAAATGTAGTTGCTTACTCCTCACTCAAGGTGGACTCGCCCTTGCTTACTCAATACCCAAAGTAAACTCGTCCTCTTTTGTCGAGCGAGAGTGAATTTCTTTACCTAAGGAATAAAAGGGGCCGAGTCCACCTCTCGTGCCTAGTAAGCAAGTACGAGTTACCTCACAATGCAACTAAGGTGAGTCATTCTCGCTTACTCATCACATGAGTAATCTTGAAAAACACATCTTGAAAAACATAAATTAATAATTGAGTCGCAACATGGTTTTATAAATGGCCGTTCATGTTTAACAAATTTGTTATCTTTTTATTCTAGCATTGTTGAGGCAGTTGATAGTGGTAAGGATTGCGATGTTGTATACCTTGACTTTAGCAAAGCTTTTGATACAGTGCCACATGAAAGACTGATTAAAAAGATAGAGTCTCATGGTATTGGGGGTGCTATATTAAGCTGGATTAGGGCATGGCTATACCAAAGGAAACAGAGAGTTAGTATAAATGGAATCAAGTCAGAGTGGGAAAATGTTGTAAGTGGAGTGCCTCAAGGCTCTGTCCTGGGACCTCTGTTGTTTATAATATATATAAATGATTTAGATTCAGGTTTGAGTAGCAACATTTGCAAATTTGCCGATGATACGAAAATCGGTAGGGAAATTAATTCGGAGGAGGACTCACTATCACTTCAAGTTGATCTAGATAGGGTATTGAAATGGTCAAAGGATTGGCAGATGCAGTTTAATGCTGATAAATGTAAAGTTCTGAGGTTAGGTAATGATGATAGAGTTACAAGATACGAGCTAGATGGTGTTGTGATTGCGAAGTCGGATTGCGAAAGGGATCTGGGAGTTATGATTAGTAAGAATTTAAAACAAAAGGATCAATGCATAAATGTTCGTAATAAGGCAAATCGGACACTTGGATTTATTAATCGCAGCGTTAGTAACAAGACACCTGGTGTGGTTCTCAAGCTATATCTTGCTCTAGTTAGGCCCCATTTAGATTATGCAGTTCAGTTTTGGTCGCCATATTATAGAATGGATATAAATTCACTTGAACGTGTCCAGCGTAGGATGACTAAGTTAATTCCCCAAATTAGAAATCTTTCATATGAAGAAAGATTAACAAAGCTTAAGTTGCATTCACTGGAAAGGCGAAGAGTTAGGGGTGACATGATAGAGGTTTACAAGTGGATGAATGGACATAACCGGGGGGATATTAATAGGGTATTAAAAGTATCAACACAGGACAGAACACGAAACAATGGGTATAAATTGGATAAGTTTAGATTTAGGAAAGACTTGGGTAAATACTGGTTCAGTAACAGGGTTGTTGATTTGTGGAACCAATTGCCGCGTAACATTGTGGAGGTGGGGTCCCTCGATTGTTTCAAGCGCGGGTTGGACAAGTATATGAGTGGGATTGGGTGGTTATAAATAGGAGCTGCCTCGTATGGGCCAACAGGCCTTCTGCAGTTACCTTTGTTCTTATGTTCTTATGTTCTTATGAGGCGATTCATACTCGCAAACTCAACCGGAGCCTTTGTCGTCCTCGACTAAGTTGTGTTCATAATTATTGTCAAACCATCAGTGTCATAATTACATAGTTCGTCTCCAGCACAATTATTTAAATTACAATAATTTGTACCCTCGTGCTGGAAGCATTTTGCACCATGACAACCCAACAAAGGCAAGTGCGCCTTATTGAAGCAGGTTCGCTGCTGGCTAGACCTTCATAATTACACTTGGATCTTAAACTTAAGAAATGAGAGACACTTTGTGGTCACTTACGAGCTCCTTGGTATCAAATAAGGCGTGCGTGGAGGCTGCACAAACCAGGATGATCAGGAGCTTCATGTTGCCCGCCCACCCAACTCTGTTTACTGTTATCAGCTGATCACCCGACCAGCCAGGGTTGCCAGATCCAAATTGCTGAAAGTAACGAGCTGACGGTCTAAAAGTAGCGAATTTGTAATAAGAGTAGCCCAATTTTTTTAGTGATTGATACGGCTTTCAAAGTATAATACTTTAATATATAGAATACACTACACGATGTTAATTGTTTTATATCAAAATATGTACACTAAAATCATTGTAATTAAGTAGATGCCCGAAACTCTGTGCGTATTAGTGACTTTTGGCATAGTATTTACTAGCTTTATCAAGAAGTCGAACATTCAGTGTGTAACTTTTTGAATGTATTTACTTTTACCTGAATAAACATTATTATTATTATTATTATTATTATTATTATTATTATATAGACACTAAATGTGGGCTAACGTGCTTAGCGCACTGCTTATACTGTTGTACGTATATCTTAATTATTAATCAGCAAGGGCTTTGTCTCTTATTACAGAACGAATAGAATCAAGCTAGTGCAAACAATACAACTGCAATAATCCATTAGATTTGCAATGTTTGCAGCTAGACCGTAGTTGCACACTTCACTGATTTTTTGCCGCCTGAGGTGGATATATAGTTCATTAAGCATTCACTATTCAACCAGCGAGTGGTGCTTATTTGTGCACCCTGAAACACGACCAGTTGTGTAACCGAAGCCCCGCCAGTTGTGTAACCAGACCGCAACCAGTTGTGTAACTGCAAGCCTAGCATGAACGAATCGAGCAAAACCTCTGAAGCACAACCATGCACGAACCGAAACCCAAATACCAACAACTCGAAGCCCAAGTGACACTCCCCGAAGCCTGACAAGTTGTGTAACTGGCCCCTGACCTGTAGTATAACCGCAAGCCTAGCATGAACTGAAACGACCTCTGGAGCACAACCATGCACAAACCGAAACCCGACTATGCACAACCCAAAGCCCAACTGACACCCCCGGAGCCCGACCAGTTATGTAACCGGAGCCCGACCAGTTATTTAACCGGAGCCCGACCAGTTATTTAACCGGAGCCCGACCAGTTATTTAACCGGAGCCCGACCAGTTATTTAACCGGAGCCCGACCAGTTATTTAACCGGAGCCCGACCAGTTATTTAACCGAAGCCCGACCAGTTATTTAACCGGAGCCCGACCAGTTATTTAACCGGAGCCCGACCAGTTATTTAACCGGAGCCCGACGAGTTGTGTAACCGGACCCCGACCAGTTGTGTAACCGAAGCCCCACCAGTTGTGTAACCTGACCCCGACCAGTTGTGTAACCGAAGCCCTGCCAGTTGTGTAAACGAAGCCCTGCCAGTTGTGTAAACGAAGCCCCGCCAGTTGTGTAAACGAAGCCCCGCCAGTTGTGTAAACGAAGCCCCGCCAGTTGTGTAACCAGACCCTGACCAGTTCTGTAACCGCAAGCCTAGCATGAACAAACTGAACAAACAACCTCTGGATCACAACCATGCACGAATCGAAGTCCGACCATGCACAACCCGAAGCTCAAGTGACATCCGGAGCCCGACCAGTTATTTAACCGGAGCCCGACCAGTTGTGTAACCGGAGCCCGACCAGTTGTGTAACCGAAGCCCGACCAGTTGTGTAACTGCAAGCCTAGCATGAACGAACCAAACAAACTTTGGATCACAACCATGCACGAACCGAAGCCCGACCATGCACAACCCGAAGCTCAAGTGACACATCCGGAGCCCGACCAGTTATTTAACCGGAGCCCGACCAGTTGTGTAACCGGAGCCCGACCAGTTGTGTAACCGAACCCCGACGAGTTGTGTAACCGCCAGCCTAGCAAGTATACATCGCATCCAACCCCCACCAAGCTAAACAAACAGCCCCAGAGCCCAACCAAACTACATTCCTAGCTCAACTAAACAAACACTTCCTTAGCCCTACCTAAAACCCTCCACTTGCCCTAGAAACCAACTATTGATCCATAGCAAACCAAAATTGGGTTTTGTACGAAAAAAGAAACCCGGATTTCTAGCAAACATACAACCATGGAGGCCTAGCAAACAACCCTGGAGCACTAGTACACAATCAACCATTGGTGCACAACCATGTGTTGTTCGTGCACAACCATGTGTGTTCGTACACAACCATGCACGAACTGGGGCCCAACCATGAACAACTAGAAGCCCAACAAGTCACACCCCCAGAGCCCGACCAGTTGTGTAATCGCAAGCCTTGGAAGCAAATATCTCATCCAACCCCCCACCAGTGTGCTAAGTGGGGTGCCAAAAAGGTTCATTTTGAGGCCAACCCTTTATGTCATATACATCAATGACATAGATGAGAATATTACAAACCACATCAAATTTGCTGAAGACACTAAGATCTATGGTAAAGTGGAAAGTGAAAGCCATATTGAAACCTTACAAAGAGATCTACATGAACTCCACAAATGGTCAGATGACTTTTTAATGTCGATAAATGCAAGACCTTGCATGTGGGGCATGACAGTCCACGTCACAACTACCAACCTGACAGCACCATCTTTCAACAGATAGATGAAGAAAAGGACCTTGGAGTCAGAATCCATCACGTGAGGCATAACAATACACAACACAACTACCAAATCATCAACATTATCTTGGAGTCATAATCTACCAATCACTGATAGTTGTACAACAAGTAGGAGCGGCAGTAAAAAAGCAAACCAAACCCTGGGAATAATCATGTGTACCTTTACCTTCAAGGAAAAGAAAGTAGACCTTCAATTGTATAAGTTTCTGGTGCGCCCCCACATGAATTATTGCATCCAGGTTTGGAGACCTCATCTTCAGAAAGACAGAGCTGCTCTGGAGTCATGTATTACCAGAGCTATGGAGCTATGTCTTACGACAAAAATCATACCAGAGCTTAGTCATCTGTTGTATCAGGAACGGTTGAGGGCCACAGGGCTAACACCACCACAAACCAGGCATGACAGGGCGGACTTCATAGAAACCTTTAAAATACTAAACAATTTGGAGGATGTCGCTCAGGACAATGTCTTCAAAAGGTCAGATGTTACACGAACAAGGAGTAACGGGTTCAAACTCAACAAGCCAGAATGTTGGACAGGAAACAGGAGATGTTTTACCCATAGGGTTGGAACCCCGTGGAACTGCCTACCCGCCGAAGCCGTAAACGCCGAAACTCTTCTGGGTTTTAAAATACAGCTGGAAAAGATCATCAGGGCAATTGGGGGGACTTTTGGCAAGCCGCCGGCTTACTGTCCTCATCGAGGCCACTAGTGTTAGTGGCCCCCAGGTAAATTCAGTTCCTGGATGGGTGTCCCCACTCCTTCCCGTTATGAAGCTCCTTCCTCTTTATTCCAAAAAAAAAAAAATATTACAGTGTACACAGGATTGTCGCTTGTCACTAAACTTAGCTTTTAAACTATTAACTTGATGAAATAATATTATCTTATACGCGAGAATAAATCTGAATACGCAGTGCGAAAAATTGACGAATGCGACTTTGGGTCAGGCGGCGCCTGAGGGCAGGCCACTATAAATGCTTCACCCTCCACATACTTCAAGTGCAAATAATTGCCAACAGAACCTAAATACCGAACCTGCTATATGTCTAATTAAACATAGAATATACAATTAATTTACAAACGATAAAAACTATTTTTAACACACAGTACGTGAAAGTCTATAATAAATGCGTCTGGGGGGGGTCTCGACCGCCGTGTTAACGAGCCTAGCCTGACGACGGGGTGATTTAACACTCTGGGGATGTGTATTCTACATAACATCCTACCCATATAATGTTGGCAAATCATGATCCTCAAAATCTTCCACAATATCTGATAGAGGACAGACTATTTAGCATTAGTGGAATACAAACATTTGAATACTACAGAACCCGGATGAAAAAAATACGGAAATAATAACCCACGGAGACATTACAAAAACTCAATGTTATAATAGCGAACAAATGTATAATGCATTAAGCATTGTAGGTGGAGGTAGACTATATATTCATGTGTACCTCCCAATTGCTCAGATAGCAAAAAAAAAATTATCAGCCTTACCGACACGGGAACAACGCTGTTCACGCCGCCGCTGCTTCCTGACGACTGGCGGGGTCGTCGTCGATGACCCGTAGCGACCAACCGACCCAGAGACCCCCTGCCTAAAATTATTTGAACGCCATATTGAAATTTCTAGCGTATAGCGCCAGGAGTGTGTAAATTAATATTTATAAATGCATTATAGGCCTTTCTAAAGTAATTAATAGATCTGAATATCATATATTGTCTAACAAACGAATTATTTAAGTTAATATTTTAATTATGCCAGATACGAGTCTCATCGCACACACGAAGATTCGTCAGCGGATTTTTTTTATTTTTTTATTTATAATAAAAATGGAAGTTCTTAAATTCTTGTAAAGCCACTAGCATGAATAGCGTTTCGAACTGGCCCTTAATCCTAATTTTTTCCCCGGAATACGACCCGCCAAATAGGCCAAACAACCTATTCTCTGCTAGGGGGGGACAGTTAAGGATTGTCGTCCGGTCAGTCCTTCCCGGCCAGCAGGTCAAAGCACTGGCGAAAAGCCGGGCGCGTGTTTTAGAGGCCAACCAGTTGTGTACCCACGGGCCTAACAAACCAACACCTCCCCTAACCAGACATACATCCCCCTAACTCTACAAAGCACACCGAGAGCCCTACCAAAGTAGGGAGGGTCCACAGACGAGAACGTGGTTATAAGTATAGGTCCACAGGCATGGGTCCCACACCATTTGGTCTGGGAGACATCTCCCGTCACGCAGGGTGCAGTCGCGTCTCCACAAATCTCCAGTATCATCTCTTGATACTGGTAATGGCTCAAAAGGGCCACCACTGATAGGCTATTCATGCCCGTGCCACCTCTTGAGTGGCTTAATCTTCATCAATCAATCAATCATGGGCCCCAGTGCCCATCATCTGGGTTGGAGAGCAGCAGTGCACTGCTTTGCTCAGAGAGTATAATGCTGCTAACACAGCCCTGCCTTCAATAAACAAACTTTTCAGCATTATTTAATTAGCTAAGATTTACCTGAATTTACCAGAGAGGCACTATCTCTCATTGAGGATAGGAAGCCAGCGGCTTGTCAAATGTCCCCTATTTGCCCTGGTGATTTTATCGAGCAATGTTTTATCATTTACGACTTCGGCGGGTATGCGTTTCCACAACTTTATAATTCTATGGGTGAAAACAAATATTTTCCATCCTTCAGTGTGGCTTGTTGAGCTAGAAACCGTTGCTCCTTGTTCGTCTTACATCTAGCCTTTTGAAGAAGTGTTCTGGGTCAATATCTTCCAAATTGTTCAGTAATTTAAAAGTTTTGCTGAGAGCAGCCCTGTCATGTCTGGTCCCTGTGGCCCTCAACCGTCCCCGGTATGGAAGTCGACTTAGTTCGGGAAAGATTTTAGTCGCCCGGTGTTGAACTTTCTCCAAAGCAGATATGTCTTCTGAAGATGAGGTCTCAACGCGAGGATATAATAATCCAAGTGGAAGAACACCAGAGATTTATACAGTTGCATTAAAGCTTAAGCCACCTTTTCCTTAGTCAAAATTTCGTTTGACTATTCCAAAGGATTTGGTTTGCTTTTATAACTGCATCTTCCACTTGTTGTACAACGATCAGTGATTGGTGGATTTTGACTCCAAGATAATGTTGATGATTTGGTAGTCGTGCATTGTTATGCCCCACATGGGTAAAAAAAAATCTGTTTTCTGTCCTAAGTTGTGGCTTGTTGAACCTGAAATCGCTGTTCCTTGTTTGTGATTGATTGATGAAGATTAAGCCACCAATGAGGTGGCCTCACGGGCATAAACAGCCCGTAACATAGTTTGTGTTGTTGTTTTAGATTCAGCTACACTGAACAAAAAGTTCCAAGCAGCACGAGCTATTGTGAGCCCGTAGTGAACTTGGCACAGGAAATATTGATATTAATATTAAGAAATATTGAGAAAATTCGTGTTAGAATTATTAATCTTACCTTTTTGGTCACGTTGAACAACATATATATATATATATTATAGGGAAGACGTCATAGAGAAAGGGGAGCAGGGTGGACAGATGCATCAGTGAAAGACGATGAGGGGTATTAGATTTACTTGTGTTCATTTATTATGCACCCCATACCCATCACGTATGGAGTACAAGTAACAATCTTCAAAGTTATACACGTTTGAATATATATATATATATATATATATATATATATATATATATATATATATATATATATATATATATATATATATATATATATATATATATATATATATATATATATATATATAAAAGTCTTTTGTAGCACAATCGGTTCAAGAACGGGGCCAGATTCACGAAGCAGTTACACAAGCACTTGCGAACGTGTACAGCTTTCCTCAATCTTTGACGGCTTTGGTTACATTTATCAAACAGTTTACAAGCATGAAAACTTCCCAATCAACTGTTATTATTGTTATAAAAAAAAAAACTCCCGGTGCTTCGGAGTTCATTATAACTGTCTAATAATTGTAAACAAAGCCGCCAAAGATTGAGAAAAGATGTGCTTGCGTAACTGCTTCGTGAATCTGGCCCCTCACACGTCTGTAAACCGAGCAATTTACGTCTGCAGTGAGCCAGTTACACGCACCCATCCAATGGGCGGTAGTGGAGAGTTTACAATGTGCGCGCGTACTGCCTGCAGAACAGTAAGTCAACTCGAGATGTTTAGTTATTTATGGTAGTACACCAATTTGAATTAAACACCTACACATTTCTCGAACATCTGTAATAGAAGTGTCTTTGAATTCTAAATATTTTTTGGGTCACATTTAATTACACAGTGACGTAAGGCATGTGAATAGTTCCGCTGACAGTTTACATTTGGTCAGATCAACTTGAGCCAGCGGTGCACACTAGGGGGGCTTGTAGCCCACCACATCCCTAACACCAGAAACATTTACACGTCTGCTGAGCGTTAGCTAACACACAAAGGAGGGGATGGGAGGACATCAGGGAGAGAGGGGATGGGAGTACGTCAGGGAGAGAGGAGACAGAAAGGGATTAGGAAGAAGTGGGAACAAAGAAGGTAAATAATAATAAGAAAGTCAATTATAAGGGTCGAGGTAAGCGCTGTGACAATAAATTGATGTGACAGGGTCAAGGGAGGGAGGGAGGCGATGGAGGGAGCCGTCAGGAAGGGAGGAATTAAGGCAATGGAGGGAGTGAGATGATGGAGGGAGCCGTCAGGGAGGGGTGGGACCGTCCACCTGGTGAGTATCAACAAGGGAGACCGGGCAGGAGCACGGGGCGGGGCACGGGGCGTGGCAGGGGCTGGCCTCCAGTTCCAGCAGCAGCAGGGTGTTGGTGCCCTGGGTGAGGGCGCTCCGGGGCACGTAGAGAGTGACCTGGGGGCCCACCTCCGGCCAGTACCTCCCCAGGCACACATCATTCACCCACGCCACGCCCTGCAGGAGACACAGTACAAGAGTTTAGGAAACTATCCATGTTTCAGTGTGGCAGTTCGTGTGGAATCCACGAAGAATATTATTTACCCGCCAAATTCGTATATATATAATTAGTAGACATAGTAGAATGATAGAAGAGCTGACCCTGTCAGGTGTCATACACCTGACAGGTGTCATATGACACCTAAGGTGTGTTAGGGGAGAGTTGTATGACACCTCTCAGCATATATGACTTCTCACTGTATTTCCCGTTGTCGGGGACACGAAACTTGTACTTAGGCCTTATCTGGGTCCTTTAGACCTATTACTGTGCCCAACCGTTTCTGTCCTGCCCAGGGATTGAACCCGGGTCCCTCGGTTGTGAACCGAGGACGTAGACTACTGTGATACAAAGAGTTTACTTCAGTTCTGGAATTATATGTTCATGATAAGTGCACAATTGTTGGTGAGTCAGAAAACTGTGGATGTGGTGGTCTAAACCCTCCCCCCCTCCCCCCTCTCGGCAGGTGATAGGTCTCGTGCCAAATACAGAACCATTGATTGGTTGATGAAGATTAAGCCACCCAAGATGTGGCACGGGCATGAATAGCCCGTAAGTGGCTATTCATGCCACTTAAAAAAATTAGTGAGTGGAACCAATGGCATTTCAATAGAGGATACATATACTTTATATACACACGGAAAGGTATATCCAATGTGTCAGTGTGTATACATTGAGAGTTGACTTCAGTCGTGCACTGTGTACAGGACTGAGGTGTATACTCGCTGGCGGGTCAGTAAATGTGAGTGGGTTAATACTCCGCCATAGGGTGACCCAACACAATAACTGCCAGAGGTCGTGTTAACCTGGCCTGGGTCCCAAGACACACCCACTGCAACACCTCCACCAGCGGGAGGAGTGTACACGGGAAGGCAGTACACTAACAACAAAGAACCTACATTCAAGACCTCAGGTATTGATGAATAATGGAGACTCTGAATTCCCAGTTATAATTTGAACTTTTACGTGCCTTATTTCATACTATTTTCTTATAGTACATCTGTGGTTGGGTCACGGAGCAACCGAAGGAGCTCAATGTGAATAGATGAAAAAATACATTGACAATAATAACCTTGGCCCAGCCATCAAGACGGAGGAAGGTATCCAGAGGGTGCGGCTCCACCGCAGGAATGTTGAAGGTGCCCCTGTAGAAGGTCATGCCTCCCTGCGGTGTCCCTAGCTGCGGGGACGGCGACAGTGTCTGGTGGAGGCGCCAGAGAACGTGCCGGAGGCGGGTCAGGTCGGTGAGAGGCAGCGGTGTCATCGTCCATCCCTTCAGTACGTGGTTGTTGATGGTGACGTTGGCGGTGAGGCCCTGTGGAGCAGCCCGGGGTTACAACCCCCTCCCCCTATATATATTATACTATATATATATATATATATATATATATATATATATATATATATATATATATATATATATATATATATATATATATATATATATATATATATATATATATATATATATATATAATATATATATATATATATAATATATATATATATATATATATATATATATATATATATATATATATATATATATATATATATATATATATATATATATATTGTGACGATAATCTCCTTCAAGAGATTGAGCCTGCTCTTCCCTCCAAAGTTCGTCGATATAAACATCTATATAAAACAAGTATGGAAGAAAAATCCAACAACGACAACACCAGCAAGGTTTGCCAGAGCGTAAAACGTATGCAGCCAGGAACACCTGCTCCACCTCAAACCGCCAAACTACCTGTCTTGTCGCCTGCTCCTCGCTGATTGGCTGCGGGTCCAGCTGCAACTGCACTCTACCCACCATACTACTTGATGTCTGGGGCCGCCACGACCTCAGTCTTCAGAATATCCCGTGCTTTCGACAAGGTAACACGTCTCGTTGGTAGACTAAGCCCCAGGCTTACGTGTACTAAGAGAAGTGATAGCTTGAAGCCAATATTCCGGCACCTATTTACTTTGTTTACCATACTCTTGTTATTTGCACACTTGTCTTAACGTAACTTTTCATTTTGCCATTTGATTATTCTTATTACTTTGATTGATTTTATTATACGAATTTGTATGTCCATTTTATTCATGTTTTGCTTTCTTTAACGTAATTAAAATTTCATTGTTAAAATTTACTTGTGTTTTGTGTGTCTTCTCCTTACCTTACCACAGACGAAGTTCCAGATTTTCTATTTTTTTTTCTATATGTGACGAGGCCATACCCCTAGCTTTTGAACAGCCGAACACCAACGCGTTACCGTCACAATATATATATATATATGTCGTACCTAATAGCCAGATCGCACTTCTCTGCCTACTATGCAAGGCCCGATTTGCCTAATAAGCCTAGTTTTCATGAATTAATGTTTTTTCGACTACCTAACCTAACCTAACCTAACTTTTTTCGGCTACCTAATCGAACCTAACCTATAAAGATAGGTTAGGTTAGGTTAGGTAGGGTTGGTTAGGTTCGGTCATATATCTACGTTAATTTTAACTCCAATAAAAAAAAAATTGACCTCATACATAATGAAATGGGTAGCTTTATCATTTCATAAGAAAAAATTAGAGAAAATATATTAATTCAGGAAAACTTGGCTTATTAGGCAAATCGAGCCTTGCATAGTTGGCTGAGAAGTGCGTTCTGGCTACTAGGTACGACATATATATATATATATATATATATATATATATATATATATATATATATATATATATCACACAAATCCAATGACTGGCGGAGCTGACCTTGAAGTCATTGAGCCTGCGGCCCACGGAGACCCGTCCCTGGCTCTCCACCATGATGACGAGGGTGTGTCCGGGGAGGGCCGTCACCGCCACGTCGTACAGCTCCTGCTCCCGGGACACCAACCCGACGTAGCGACCCTCCACGAACACGTACCCGCGGTCATGCACGTCGTTCACGCTCAGTCGTGCCGGGTCAGGCTGCCGGGTATGGGTGTGTGGGAGTACAGTCAGTAACCTTAGCTTGTTAAGAAAGCAAACTGGTTTACTAATCTGTTTTCTTAGCTTCCTATATAAATATTATCTAATTCTAGTAATTGTCTAATAACGACATATTGTCTTAGAACGACATATTGTCTAAGAAATTGAGAACGAATAATTTTGAGAGTCCTATAGGTTAAAAAAAACTCACAATCTCAAATGCGAGAATAACACTAACCTCACAATCGTAACTCACAATCTCACGTAACTCACAATCGTCGGCTCACATTGTGAGCCGACTTCTCAAGAGCCCTGAAGCTGTGAACAAGGTTCCAGACTCACAACTTTCCTCAACCACCCGACCCGGTACTCACGACCCTGAAGCGAAGGACGGTGTGGTAGACGACGATGCCGTTGGCGAGGTGCAGCTGCTCGAAGGTGAGAGGCCAGGGCTGGGTGACCCCCCGGAGGAGCGGCAGGAGCTGCATCACCGACCCCAGGGGCTCCATCTTCACCTCCCCGTACCTTGCCTTGAGGGGCACTGGAGGCACCGGTCCAGGGGGCACCACCAGGTACTGAGAAGAACGTAGTCGATAAGAGTCAGGCACTTTACACTCTCTCTCTCTCTCGCACACGTTCACTCACCCGCCCTCACTCACCTACCTTTTTATTTTTTTTCTCTCACTTGGGCTGGTCGGTAGAGCGACGGTCTCGCTTCATGCAGGTCGGCGTTCAATCCCCGACCGTCCAAGTGGTTGGGCACCATTCCCCCCCTCCCCCATCCCATTCCAAATCTTCATCCTGACCCTCTTCCCAGAGCTATACAGTCGAAATCTCTTGGTGATATCTGCAGATATTTCCTTTCCCTTCTCTCGATCACTCACACAAACTAAATAAAAGTTTTCCGGGAGTATTTATAGAGACAGACCACGAGAGGATCTGAAGGTACAGAGCCTAACCAGAAAGCGAATGTGTTTCACACAATCGCTCCTCACCGCCTAGGGGAGGGGGAACTGGACACGACAAAAGCTGAGGAATCTGACGAAATGTCACCACGGATCCTGAGAGAGGCACAGAGCCATCCCCTGTCTCTACATACTGCAAACGAATAAATTGCCAGAGATATAGAAAACAAGTAATGTTTATCCTATATACAAGAAAGGAGAAAGACAGGAGCCCTTGAACTACAGCACTGGCCTGTAGCTGGCACTGACATTCCCGGCAAGGTCCTGGAGATTCTTGGAGCGCTTACTAAATGTGGGCTTTGTCTCTATGCACCAACACAGCTTCAGTGAAAGTAAATCATGTCTAAATATTCGATTAAAAGTTCTACAACCAAATGATAATGATCAAACTGGAGGGGGAAGGCACTGTACATTCCTTGATGTCCAGAAGGCCCCTACACAAACCAGAATAAAGCTGGAGCAGCTGGAAAAGTGCTGAGTAGTTGAGGGAATACCTCTCGGATAGGAAACAGAGAGAGAGAATATAAAACAGAGTGAGGGGAGGTCAAAATGGGGTGCCATGAGCTCAGTGCTACGGGCCATTTTCTTTCTGGTATATGTAAATGACCTGGCAGAGAAAACAATATCATTCATGCTCTTGTATACTGACGATACAAAGCCGACCAGGAAAGCTAGCAGCTAAGGCTGCAAAACACTACGAAGAGATTTGGATGCAATGCAGCCGACAGTATACGAGACGTACACTCAAGTGGACGAGTGAGCACGTCACACAAGGGTGCCAGAGACAAAGTGGACGAGTGAGCACGTCACGCAAGGGCCACAGAGACAAAGTGGACGAGAATAGACCTTAAATGCAAGTGACAAGTACATCTGAATCCGAGAGACACAATTAAGGAAGTGTTCCATCAGTGCAGGATTAGTAAACAAATTAAATGAACTAGAGGAGGAGGAGGAGGAGGTAGTGGAGGCTAACTCCGTACATGGAGGGAAAGGTAGTGGTAGGTATCCACGTACAGGAGATACGTGGATACCTACCACTGTACCCATGTACAGGCGGCAACAGGAGTAGATAGGAGGAGCATTCGACCACAGAAGGTGACTGTAATACTTATACAATGGTAACCCGCATGCACATACACTCTCGCCTCTCTCGCATACACAGGGTTAATGGCGTGCTTCGTGTAGTGCTGTGTTGCTGACCACGTTGCTACAGGCGACTGAAGACCTGTCTTCTACACTACACTACACTACACTACACTACACTACCCCACAGTACCTTGCTGATGACCTGCCTCAGGGCGTGGTACTTCTCAGTGGGGTCTCCCGCCTCCGACACGGGCGCGTCGTAGTCGTACGATGTTGGGCACGACTGGAATGTGCGGCCCATGTTGGAGCCTGCAAGACGGCAGCTGGTGTTAGTCGCCTGTGTTTGTTAGTCACGCGTGTGTTGTGTGTGCGTTTGCTAGTTACTTCACGCGTGTGTTTGTTAGGGGAACAACAAGGGAAGCAGGTAGTTGGGCCAGACTCACTGTTTGGGTTCATTTTATAATTTAAGATTTAAATCTAGCTTATGACTGCCTACGAGGGAGAGGCAGAGAAACGAAGAACACACAGTAGGCAAGTATGGAAGATGGAAAGAAGGGGAGACGGAGGTTTAGGAGAAAGGAAAAGAGAGAAACCATGTATGGAATAGTAAGGAGGGAGGGAGGGAGTTATCATGGGAAAGCGCCAAGCCAATGCGACTATATAGCACTTGGAAGGGGCCAGGAGAAGGATTGGGGATGGGACGGAGGGGAAAGGAATGGTGCCCAACCGCTAGGACGGTAAGGAGACGGAGGAAAGATAACATTAAAAGAAGACCAGCTGAGATACAAGAGAGACCAACGGTGAAGGAAAGAGTGTACTGGCCAACGGTGAAGGAAGAGTGTACTGGCCAACCGTGAAGGAAGAGTGTACTGGCCAACGGTGAAGGAAGAGTGTACTGGCCAACCGTGAAGGAAGAGTGTACTGGCCAACCGTGAAGGAAGAGTGTACTGGCCTGCGGTGAAGGCGAAGTTGGTGCCGCCGTGGAACATGTACATGTTGACGGAGGCGTTGAGGGCCAGGATGGCGTCCAGCGCCACAGCCAGCTCCTGCCGGCGACAACACCACCACCACCATGTATCACGCTCATACACCATACGTATATACAGACGAGGAGTCACAATAACGTGGCTGAAAAAAGTTGACCAAACCACACACTAGAAAGTGAAGAGACGACGACGTTTCGGTCCGTCCTGGACCATTATCACAATTGACTTGATAGTGGTCCAGGACGGACCGAAACGTCGTCGTCTCTTCACTTTCTAGTGTGTGGTCTGGTCAACAAGACGTATATAAACTGTGTAGCCTTAATTCGCTCCAAAACTTATATTATTCTCTACTACCTTATATTAACAATACAAAAATATTGCCTAGATAGTTGAGCTTGAGTGTGCAACATTATATTATCACAATAGCAGTAACTACCACTCACAGGACGAGTATAAGTAGTGCACAAGAAACTACCACTCACCTGGGCGTCGGTCTTGTGGTGAGGCTCCCCCCAGTGATCTATCCATCCCGGGTAGAACTCTGAGTTAACGAGCGGACCCCGAGGTTCAAACAGCCTCTGCTGGCCGAAGATCTCGTTGGGGTCAGTTCCTGGGTGGGAGAAGGTCAGGGTTGGTTAGTGATGTGCATCACCACAACCTGAAGGTCTACAAGTGGTTATTAGCCAGATGGTGAGGAGGTTCTCTATTGTGGTGGTGGATCAGAGTCATGAATGCTTCCAGGACCTCTGGTGTGCTCTTCTATCGTGTGGGCTTCCAGGTCTTATGGCAGATCAGAGTTATGCGAGCTTCCAGGACCCCTGGTGGATGTCATGTGCTCTTCCAGGACCCCTGATGGATGTCATGTGCTCTTCCGGGACCCCTGGTGGATGTCATGTGCTGTTCAATGACCCCTGGTGGATGTCTTGTGCTCTTCCAGGACTGCTGGTGGATCAGAGCCACGTACACGTCCAGGACCCCTGGTGGATGTCAAGGTACCGAATGTGGAACGGTAGATGTGAGCGCATTAAAGCAGTCATTAACATAACTTAAGACGCGCCAGAGCCACAACATACGTCTATGGAAACAGGTAAGAAAAAGCTAAGCATACTGACATTTCTTCTGTAACAGTAGTTTATTATTATTTGTCTATCTGTCAGATCCGTAAGTCAGAGTTGAGTTGGTTGTTGTCATCCAGGTGTACAAATTCCAGAAGAATCCTTATTTTATCTACTGTACCCAGGCATGGACATCTCACCTTCATAAAGACAATTAGACTGGAAAACGTTCAGCACAGAGCAAGAAAAAGTATCCCAGAACTAAGCCAACTCTCTTACCAGGAAGGTTGAGGACCTCAGTACTAATGACACTACTCACCGATCTCATCGTGACTTTGAAATTACTGAACATTTAAAATTAACAAGTTATTTGTTGATTTATTATTGTCTTGCTTTCTTGATACATAAATTTCAACAAAGCGACACGTTTTGCTTGTCTAGTTCACACGTCATATCACAGGGTTGTTGGTTAATGGAACAAATTAGACGGTGACACATTACAACAAAGTAATTTTACTGCAGGCGATGAGTCACAATAACGTGGCTGAAGAATGTTGACCAGACCACACACTAGAAGGTGAAGGGACGACGACGTTTCGGTCCGTCCTGGTCCATTCTCACAATCGACTTGAGAATGGTCCAGGACGGACCGAAACGTCGTCGTCCCTTCACCTTCTAGTGTGTGGTCTGGTCAACAAAGTAATTTTACTACCAGCGTTGCAAGCTCACCAAGACCAAAGTCGACCGTGGCGTAGACGTCCGGGATCTTGCCACACCTAAGGTTGGATGAGCCGGTGGAGTCGACAGTGAAGAGGACGACAGAGGGCCCTAGGTGCTGACGGAACACCTCCCGAAGGTGGGCCGTGTACTGGAAGTCACAGTTGCTGCTCGACCCGTACTCGTTCTCCACCTGACACAGTCCAAGCAAGTCTGAATTTTTGCCACCAACTTCGTCTGATTTCGATTACAAACAAATGTGCACAGATTGCCTTAGTAAATTAATATGAAAATATTATATATTAATTTGAAATCGGAAGTTCGTTTGTAAATATCGAGAAATTTCAGCCTTTATTTATCTAAGTAACTCAGCCCATCATGGCAAAGATGAGACTTATAAATGTCTACCCTACGATATGTACTGACTAGATTGTTCAGCTTGAAATGTAGTAAACTTGAAAGTCGGCTAGTCCTAGGAAAACACGCTTGGATAGCTCGTTAAGGGTTACAACGTTCTGGCATGAATACATTAATGCAAAACATGCAATTGGCGTCACCTGAACCATGATGATCGGCCCGCCGTTCTCGTAGAGGAGCGGCTTGACCTTCGGCAGCAGCACCTCGCCCAGCCACGCGTCTACGTGTCTCAAGAACGCTGACGAAACACAAGAACTCCAGTGTAATATCTATTATGGTAATTGATTTCTATAAACATTGATAAATATATACTATGTTTTCATTGAACACTTGCTTGATTATACCGTTTCAGAGGAGATAATCGTATATTAATGCTTTGTTCACTGCTCTAATAATTAGACAAAGAAAACATTTCTTTTGTGAGAGAGAGAAAATGGTTGAGTCAGCCACTCACGCATCGCTCAACCTAACATAACTCAACTTTAATAAACCCAAACTTAACTTTGCTAATGAAGCCTAACTAAGCATAATCTAATCTAACATACCCAAAGTAAAATATCCGACTCCAGCACAATAAGTGCATGACCTCCATGTATGGCATACGGCGCGGTAGTCATAGTTTATCTACAGGAGGCCTGGTCAGAGACCGAGCCGCGGGGACCTTGAACCCCGGGACCACCACATGGTAACGGCGGCCTCGGTAGCAGTCAAGAATAATACAAGTGTTCTTACCGGGATCCGAACTTCTTAGGCGGATGTTTGGATGAAGTCGCAGCAGCCAGTATGGAAACCCTCCCTGAATAAATAAATAACATGTGAACTAATAAATAACACGAGAACACCAATAAATAACGCATGTAAATCAATAAATAACAAATGTAAATCAATAGCGTCCTCCTCTGACCCCCCATGTTCCCGCCATATTCCTTCCTACTTTCCTGGTGACCCTTGCCCCTCACCATGTCCCGCTCGGCGCAGATGAAGGGTCCAACGCGAAGGATAACGAGGAGATCTTGGTCCTGGGCCGCGGTGATGAAGGCCTCCAGGTCGTGGTTGCCAGAGAAGTCCAACACTCCGGGCTCCGGCTCGTGGCTCGACCACTCCACCACCCTGATACACACAGCCTTCAGTTAGATCCACACCTTTGATTCGTCCTCTCAACACAAGATATAGACACGACACGGGTGCGTACGTTTCTGGTTAGGTTAGGAGGTTGTTTTTTTTAACGGAGTGGCAAATCAAGGATTTGTACACTGAGAGGTATACCTCTATTTTTTTGGTGTATGTATATTCAAAGTTTTCTTTAACCCTGAATTATGTTCAGGACTCGAGTATTTACCTGATGGCCACTTATACTAGTGGCCTCGATGAGGACAGGAAGCCGGCGGCTTGTCACTAGTATACATGCTGGTTGATAAGTAAGCTATTGTGGCGACTAATTAATAACTCTCCTACGCTTGATAGGCTTTAAGGCCTGCCCGAAACACTTTGCGTAATAGTGGCTTTAGGCATTGTATGTACTAGCTCTATCTATTAATCCAACAAACTTTGTAAAATCTCTTTATGTATGTACCTTACCTAAATAAACATTTATTTATTTATTTATTTATTTAAGCCCAATACCAAATCGAACCAACTAGTTGATAGTCTGTGAATACACTGTTGAAGTATATATATGTTAACAAAATGTGTGTGTGTCAACAATGATGCAATTACGTTACCATGGTAGCCTATGTAAACTCTGTTATATGACTTGTGTACGAGAGGAGAACTTTGTAGAGGGCGGGGATCAACCTCCATACTAAAATGGACAGTCATTCATCGGTAAAATAAGCCTGATCTAGTTCAGTCCTTGTGCAATAAGCTGCAATAGGAGATCACGTATTTTATACTCCAGGGATAAGCCATCCTTGTTAATCCCACAAAATTTGTTTTCTGTTGGAGAACTGAGCCGAGGTCTGTAAACCCAGCCCAAACGTTAGAAATTAACATAGTTTACACGTTGTTAATGACTTCATTTTGTTGATTCTGCGCCAGATAAAATGTGGATTAGTTATCAGTTGCTAGTGATAGTGGAAACAATAATAACAAGGGAAGGTAAAAAACAAAAAAGGGATCAAGCATCTCCAGAAAACAGATGCTTTTTCACCCATAGGGTTGTAAACCCGTGGAACCGCCTTCCCGCCAAAGCCGTAAACTCCAATACTCTGCAGGGTTTTAAAATACAGATAGAAAGGATCATCCGGGCAAATAGGGGAGGGGACCTTTGCGAAGCCACCGGCTTCCTGTCCTTGTCGAGGCCACTAGTATTAGTGGCCCTCAGGTAAATTCAGGTAAACAAAACCGGAGGAAGACTCACGTCTGGACGGCGTTGAAGCCCGCCATCCGAAGCTTCCACAGTCGGTCGGCCCAGAGAGAGGCGGGCACCCGGAAGTAGTGGATGGAGCCAGACACGTAGCGAAATGGCAACCCATCCTTCAGGAACCTGTCATTGGCGTAGTCGATCTTGAAGGTCCGGCGTCTTCTGCCTTCCTGCTGGGGAAGATGGAAATAGGATAAACATGGTTACTTATAAAGGTTTAGTCAACCTATGAGCTCTAGGACTCAGGAAATTAATTTTTATTTGTTTTTATTTACAAATTACAAGGTACAAAAATTGTCGAACACTTGTTTACAGGCTACGAGCTCTCTCTACCATAGGTCATAGTTTGCAACCCAAGAGTTCTCCCTACCATAGTGTAGTGTTTGCAAGCCAAGAGTTCTCCCTACCATAGTGTAGTGTTTGCAAGCCAAGAGTTCTCCCTACCATAGTGTAGTGTTTGCAAGCCAAGAGTTCTCCCTACCATAGTGTAGTGTTTGCAAGCCAAGAGTTCTCCCTACCATAGTGTAGTGTTTGCAAGCCAAGAGTTCTCCCTACCATAGTGTAGTGTTTGCAAACCAAGAGTTCTCCCTACCATGGTGTAGTGTTTGTAAGCCA